CCGCCCCCCCACCCGCCTCCTCCAGCCACGGGCAACGACAAGCTTCCCACGGCCCCTGGGACAGGAGGTTTCACCAAGAAAGGGAGCTGGAAGTGCATTTTCCAGCCTCTTCTGCAGCTCCAGGGCAAAGCGGGGAGCCGGCAGCTGGGTGCTCACACGGGCACAAGCGCAGCCTCATTTCATCCTCCTGGGCTGCGGCGTCCCACGCTCGCGCTGGCACGGCCAGCCACGGGTACATCTCTGATGGCACTGCGGTGCTGTGCACCCGGCCGGATCCATCCCCTTTGAAATGCCAGCTCCCCCGGCACTTCAAAGGCTGCCGTCTGTGAGAGGCAGAGGGGTCTAATCTCGCCAGATCTGCAGAAGAGGCCTTGTGAGGATTAATTATGGCTCTAAGCGCTTTGCACAGGTTATTAAGAGAGAAGTATTATAATCAAAGCAGACAGCAAATGATTTCATTTCAGCACGGGGACGTGCAGCCTTTGCAGGCCACTGTCTCAGTGGGGTTTGTTAGACGAAGACCTCCCAGCCCACACCTAGCGAGGGGTGGCAGCCTGGGAAATGTCACTGCAACGTCCACGCTGGCCTTTCACGGTTAGGAAAGCAGCGGTGGCAGCAGGACGCAGACATTGTTAACCTATGGGATGAGCCGGCGTCAGTGCCGGCGCTGGGGAGATGTCGCAGCTGATCTGCTCTCCGTGGGGAGCCAACGGGGCCAGGGATGCCCGGCTGTCACGAAAGAGCTTTCCTGGCCACCCGTGTCATGTGCACGTGGGTTTCGCAGGCTGTACAGCCTGCTACTGCCCTGTGCCTGCTTGTGAAGGGCAGTGGGGCATGCCCTGCCACGGTCCGGCCCCGTGAGCATCCTCCCTAATGGGCTCCGCTTCGTTCATTACAGTTCATAGTCATCAGCTCCCTCCTGGAGCAGCCGCCTCTGACACTCTTCGACTATCAGTACCCCGAGTGGAGCATCTCGGCGGGGTACCTCATAGGAGCATCGTC